ACTTCCAAGTATCTCTCCTCTGTCATCACAGTCTTCTTGTCATCTTTCTGCAACAGATCTTCTGCCAAAAGTCTCTCTAGCTAGCATGATCTGATTTCTTCTAAAAATTCTAAGAGTGAGACTTCTTTGTTTAGTTAACCTTTGTTTGCAAGTGAGTGAGCTTCTTGTTTGACATCCTTCATTTACAAGTATAGTAACATAATAGTGTTATGTATCACGTATCATTCCCATGGCCTTGGAACACCTGTCAAAAATTTTCTGTGCATGGAAAAAAGCACGGTTCAGATAACTGGAAGTCAGATAATTGGAGTTCTACATATTAACAAATCTTAGAAGTCAAGACATTAAATTATAAATAAAATATTTAACAAAACATGACTAAATGGAATATATATAGACTAAAATTAAATATACAGGGTGTTGATGTCATACATACTATAAATTTAAGGGATAATAGATATCAATGAGATGATCATTTTTTATGAAGCAATCTAGTGTCAAAAATAAAAATTGGCAGAGCTAAGCAGTGGTGATATTCGAAATATTTAACAAAGAGTTCGCTAACAGAAAATTTTTCCTTAGCAATTTTTTTCGCTCAAATGGTGCATTAGCAACATTAGCGCAAAAACTGACCTTAAGATATCCATATAAATAAAACAGATGCGTTCGCAAAATTAAGTCAGTTAAAATTTAACATTGTTTATGCCAGAAATATATATTTTTTTTATAAATAATAAAAAAGAGTGTTCAAAATTGTTTATTTTGTACATATTTTTATATTTTTCATTCAAAATATTTTATAAACATAAAAATTGGCTTTTTTTTAATCAGAAAAAGTCATAGGGAAAGCAGTTAAACAAGAAAAACTTTTCTAAATCATTTATTTTATCGTTAGGTATTATTATAATAATAGACAGATGTCATCGTCTCTCGAAATACAATATCTTTCTTATTTCGCTGTTGATAGCCCGACACGTGCTCCGCAGCCATCTTGTATTTTCTCGCGCGCGTGGGATTGTGGGATCTCTCTTATGACTGGATCTAGTTTCGAGAACTCTCTCGAGTCGATCGCGATTGAACCTCGTTTTAGTCGAGATTGAAACGGTCGATGGAGGTTGCACTAGGCGAACAGGGTATAAGGCTCTAGTTTAGTAGTGTTACAGAGTATAATACGTATATTTTAATATATTTTTTAAAAGAAACAAAATCACTGAGAAATGTTACGTGTGTTTAACAACGGGTTCGGAAAACTTTGAAAATGTTAACAACGGGTTCGGCCGAACCTGTGCGAACCCGCTGAATATCACCACTGGAGCTAAGGCCTGCAGAACTTTTAGATGTGCTTGTGTAGTTCAACCCGCACTTCATATTTTTCATTTTAGGAAATTATCAATAATCTGCTAGGAGTAAGACCAGAGATTAAGGAAACTGAGAAAGTGCTGTTATGCTCTTCTTAGTTAGATATTAATTCACCATGATAACACTCCTGTGCATTGGTCATTTCTTATAAATGAATATCTGAATAAGAGCATAAGCTGCAGGAGGAGCTTACGTTGAAGGTAGTTAGTTTAAAAGTTTCTGTACATTGAGTAATAAAATTTGTGTCAAAAGTTCAATTCATTTTTTACTCTATCTTGTATAAAATAGATCAGAAAAAGAAAGTGTGAAAAATAAATAGACCAATGAAGAAAATATATTGAAAAAGTACTGTAGTTAAAAAAAACAATGGTAATAAAAAGTTTATAGCCTATTATTGTTAGTATTGTGCAATCTTAGAAAGAATCGTTGGTTTTATTTCAATTAAACACTTCTTTATATTTTTTAGAATGTTATTTTATTCCAAGTATAGTATATTTTGCTGCAAATTCTTTTTCTTAAAAATAATACCAAAATTATATATTACTTTTTCATCAAAAAACATATGTCATTAACTGTAGTTGTAATGTGTTTAAAATGCATTTTTCTGTTTACAGTTATCTTTGACATTAATATATTTTCCATTTTCATATCTTATATTATACTTTATTCAGCAGCATGCAGTGACAATTTTCAAAAAGGACCAGATGCAAGAAAACCCATTTTTCATACATTGTAACAATTATTATTTAAACACCTGGAAAAAACTCATTTTATTTGCAAATTAATTTTACTTTCCTGGCTCTGTTATATATAATAAAGGAAAAGTATTGCAATCAGACAAAAAATGGCCCCCCTTCCTCAAGATTTTTACATTTTTGAATTCAGGAGACCTTGAAACATTAAGAAATACAAAAAGAAATTTGGGATTTTTTATGTATGTATGAATGAATGTTAAGGTATGTGTGTGAGCAAGATTTTGTTCACCCTCTTTGAAGCTTAATTATATGGTTGTGGCTGAAGAGGGTCTATTGAGGACTGAAATGCATTCCACTAATAAAAATCTTAATTTCTCAATGTGATCTTGATTACTTGGCTTCATTGCAGTTTAATAAGCCTCACATCTCTATGAACTGTTTAATTGAGATAATTATTAAATTAATAAATCCTGTGTCTTTGGTCAAAAATCTCTGAAATTTTGAAGGGAGGTTCATGTATTAGGAAGATTGATGATATTAAATTTTGGTGGTTAAAGGTAGAGGGGATGGGGAGATAATGGGATCATATGTCTTATCTTGAGTAGGGTTAGACTTAATGACGATTTTAATTGTTATTAGCATTTACAATTATTTTTNATATTCAAATGCATTATTTAAAAAAAAAAATAGTAAGTTTTGATCATTTAGTGAAATGTAATTTAAAATTTTCATGAGTTAAAAGGTTATCAAATATGAAAATATAATTAGAACTTAGTTAATTAAAAATATAAAAACTTTTTAATAATAAAATATAACAGATCCCCACACACAGTTTTAAATGTTGCCAGGAAAGTTAAGCAACTTGTTGATGGATTGTTTTTTCTTGGAAAACTTAAGGCTCTCCAAACATTTTAAGCAGATGATCCAAAATACAGCATGGAAATTGTTGATTGTCTTAACTCTGTTGTTACAATTCACCTGTATCAGCTGCATCATTCACAGATTCAAACTGCATTATGTTTTGCTGCAAGGGACTTGCTTCTCCTAATGAGTCTCTTTCCGTGTTTAATTCAAAGCTTTCTAATTACATATACAGTCTTTTAAGTAGATTCACACTTTAGATGAAAACTTTTAACTGTTTTATGGTTACAGAAACACAAAAACCATTCGTGCAATGCAGAGCCGGCCCTACCATAGGGCGAACAGAGCAGCCGCTCCAGACACTAAGTCTAGGGGGGGCGCCTCAATGGTAAAGAAAATTAAAGGAAAAAATATTTTTTTCACTTTTCGATATTTTAATTGCAAGCTTGTGGCCAGTATGTGAATGGCCTTATCTGTTGAGACATGCATGGATGGGGTTCCACCCCCGGGCACCATAATAGGATCTCGCTACATCCTAAAACTTGCCTCAGGCTGGCACTGATGCAATGTTGTTTTCAATAAGCAAAGGAAACAAAATTTCTTATTACAGAACCACCAAGACATCCAAAAAACACAACAGTATAACATGAACACATGTCTGCAACCTAGTCCTGTCAACAAGTCAACTAAAGAAGCCCTGAGGAGTGTTCAGATTGATTTGTGGCCGGATGGGAAAAATACACAAAAGAAGACATATTTTTCAAATGAAAGTTTCAAATATATATACATTGAAAATAATATTCAGACAGCATTTCAAAGAATTTAGGGGACTAGCTTAGTCCCCCTAGTCCATTCTTGACATGCTACTGCTGATATTGTACTTATAACTAACTCTTGCTAATTTAGTTTCTATTCAATTTCTGAAAAAATGGCTCCTATTCTCACAAAAGGTTATTCCAAGTTAATGATATGTTATTAGTTTAAATAAAACTTGTTTGCTATTGTAAGCAATATCATTCTAATTAAATTAATGTCAGTCATTTATGTAAAACATTATATAGATTTACTCTGGCATTGATTTTATCTATATTTTATTATAATAATATTATAAGTAAAAATGTGCTACCCAAAAGCAAAAAGCTTTCCATAAAAACTGAAAATCTATCTTTTTGTACTATAACTCAAACATAACTTATTTCTTCTAGTAGGAATTGCATAAAGTGTCTTATTTTGCAAAGAATTTTTTTCTCAACTGGATTGCAGTTTTCGCAGTTGAAAGTATTTTAAGTGAGTAAAATTGAGCATGCAGCTATGACTTTACCATTAAATTGTTGTGCATTATGCTTAATTAATATCCTTTATTGATACTGTTCAATATTCTGCATGAAAAATGTTCTGTAATAATAATAGAATGCTTTTCATGCTAGATATTGGACTGTATTGATAAAAGATACTAATTAGATATGATGAAAAGCAAACAACTGGATTTTCAATTTTTATAGAGATAGAGCTTTTTGCCTTTAAGTGATACAAATTAGATTTACATCAAAAGATTTATCTATCTTAAATAATACTAGCAAGTTTTGCTTAATTTTTGTTACAGATATTAGAATTTTTGTAAAAAGTGCATAGAATAAATTCAGAATACCTGTAAGAATAGAAATACCATTTGCACTTGGCACCATGTTCAACATGATGAGAAAAAATGCTAAATTTAGAAACAAAACAAATTTTTTATTCAGAAAAAGAATGAAAATATTTCTGAATAAAAAATTTATTTTGGTTCTTGAATTTATCATTTTTTATCATCATACCTGTAAGAAATGTACATTTATAATATATAAGATATATCAAATAGCAAAACATGATAACTTAAAAAGATTTTTAAAAGAAATCTCAATATAAATTTTTTATTAAAAACCCTTTTTAAATTGCAAAGAAAAGAATTACAAATTTTAAGAAAAATTATATTACATATATAAAAGTTTTATTAGTTTGTTTATATTAAAATCTAAAATATATTAATTTAAATATTCAGTAATTAAGATATTAAATTTGCATTAAAATACAAGATTAAAAATTTACCTTCACATCTCACTGCACAACTATCTTCAATTCTTTTTCTGCATACATTGCAAAATTTTCGTTTAAGATGCCCAAGTTCACTCCAGCAATGTGGAACTGGATTCTTGTATAGAGAATTTTACATATTATTAATATACTAACATTTAGAAGAAAAATTTAATAATCTATCAAAATCAATTAATTGGTCTACATGATTTATATGAATAAAAGTAAAAATTATCTCAGAATGGAATACAGAATTCAATAGAAAACTGAATAAATAAGAACACAATTAGTAAAACATATGTATACTTTATACAGTGACTATAAGTCTTTTATTTGAGTCTGTTAGATTTATTTCTTTTTCTAAAATGACCATTTTGTTCTTTATTTTGTGAATTAAAATTTGAATTTTTGTGTATTAAAAGTTATGTCACTAGTGAAAAGATCTAAGAATGTCAACAAAACAACAAGTCCTGTCAACATAAATAGGTTGAAATTTTTTAATATTTCAAAGATAAACACATATCTTTTAAAACCATTTTAAAAATTGTTGAATTTTGCTCCTTGAATCCTGGATCTAATGGCCCTATAGAATGAGTATTTTCATTAGTGAACAATATGTGGACCAGTGAAAAAATCTAGCTATGAGAGTTGTGTAACTTTTCTGGCTGTTATAAATTTTTTTATAAAAAAAATCTTTTATGTTATTAAGCAAAAAATAAAATTGTGTATGGTGCCACCTGTTATCAAATTTTATTTAAAAATTTTATATGTTTAATTACTATAAAATGGCAAAAAGCTTTTATTTTGAAAGTAGAGATCGATTTTATTAAAAAAAAAGTGTAAATATTAATAATGATTAAAATCTTCATGAAGTCCTGCCCCTCTCAAGATACATGACCCCTCTATCTCCCCCTCGTGCCCTTTCATCACCAAAATTTAATAGCATCAACACCCCTAATATACAAGCCACAATGCCAAATTTTGTTTAACCTTTACCTCATCCTGAGATATTAAGTGAAATAAACCCAATACACACACACATACACACCCATGTAATTTTTTTCCTGTTTTTTTTTTTTTTTTACTTTTTTGAATTCAGAAGCTCTGAAAACATGGAGATTTGGAAAACTCAAAGGTTCAAATTTGGCACTACTCCAATCAGGGCTGCAGAGTTGGTAAAAAAAAACATTCAACTCTGACTTCTGATAATTTTAGTAGGCTGTCTCCGACTCTGGAAAAATTAAATACTAAGTCATTTTATGGGGAGAAGAGGTGCTCATAGAGGTACCCTACTCTGAATAGGGATTGCAATTGCTAGATCCCTCATCCAGCAATACAGCTGGATCCAGCGCATTCTTCAGCCTATTAGATCCAGCACCTTGTGCTGGATCCAGCGCTGTGGATCCACAAATACTCAATTAAGGAATGGGAAGCCCATCAAAATATAAACACTATTGTTTCCAATGATGGATCGTAAACCACCAACACCGTGACTGCAGCTTTCGTTGACTCAAAAAACAACATCAAGGCCAACTTCTCTCTCCACCCTGAGGTCTACACTTGACAACAGAATATGACTCTTAAAAAGCCACCAACCAAAGATATGTTTTTCCAAAAATATGTAAAAGAAGTGAAGGACAAAGAATTGAGTTTGATTCTTGACTGCTGTACTAGGTGGAACAGTCTCCTCAGCATGCTGGAACATTTCTACAGTGTAAAAGTTTGCATCGATAAAGCTTTACTAGACACTGGCTCAGACACTAAATTATCTGCTGACGAGTGATCACTAATCAATGAGTTGATCACCAGTCTTCAACCAGTTAAACTGGCTGTAGAAGCTCTCTGCAGAAGAGATTCAAGTTTGATAACTGCTGACACAATCCTGAAATTTGTCCTAGACAAACTAAAAAGCCTGGACACAATCTTGAATGCCAACCTTTCCTTGGCACTCCACAAAAGAATCAGAGAATGGCGTCTTACCAAGGTCACAGGGATGCTGATTTACATACAGAACCTGAAGAACTATGACCGAAAAGTTAGAAAGCTGAAAAGACCGAAAGTTAGTAATTATATATGCGATAAAGGAAATTTAAATCAATGGAAATTATTCTTTCACAATGCCGAAAAAAATGTAATGAGCCAGAAGATGAAAAATATGCTGAATCGTGTAAATACATATGTAGTGGAACCAGCAGTAATGGCAGAGGATATTACAGAGGTGGAAAACAATGATCCAGATAACCTGAATTCCCTGAATTTCACATTGGAACAAGAATTGGAGATCCAACTAAAGCGTGAAAAAGAAAACTTCATGAAATGGAAAGAAACTAGTACTGAAAAGGATTGTGATAAGTTATTAAAAAAGGAAATGGCTGTTTATGAAAGTGAGGGAGTCAGAGGTGAAAACTTATCTTTGATTTATGATTATTTGATGACCCTGAAACCAACTAGAGTAGAGGCAGAAAAGGCTTTCTCTGCAGCGAGATATATATGCAGTTCATTAAGAAGTAGGTTAAAAGACATCACCATCAATACCATTTGTTTTACTTCCAGAAAAGTCAAAAAAAATAACAGAAGTGATTGATTTAATTTTATTTATTTCTTCAAAATACTTTAATCAAGACAAAGACAAATATTTTATAACTTCTACTCTAATTCTATTAAGTAAGAGTTTTTAACTTTTATTCTATAAGTGGTTAGTGGTCTAGGCTAGGCAATTTTATTGTGAAAATTAGTGAGAAACTGAGACTACCTAGTTAGTTAAATAGTTAATTAAATTAATGAGTATCAGTATCTTAGATATATGATGACACGAATGTATGTGATTCATGATTGTGATAATAATAACTAACTATTAGATTACTACTAATTACTTTCTCACTACTTTACTAACACTAATAATTAAATTACTTATAAATAACTACAGACTGATATGTAAAACCTATATAAGAAAACTGGTAAGAATGATAGCCACTCAGCCACTAAATATCCATCCTTACATTATTATAATATAATATATTAATATAAATTAATTAGTAGAATTACCTTGAATTACCTTTGCTATTATTTAACTTAAAGATTACATTATAATTATAATCTAACTAAACATTTAAAGTTAATTATCTCTATCTCAAGTGTTAAATCGAACCAAAGTTAAGTTTACTACCTAAATGTGTAGTGTAAGAAGCTTTACTGATTTATAGTGACCAGTCTAAATAATAAAAGTTTCTTAAATATTTAAAAAAGGATGTTTTATTTCTTTAAAAAAAAGCCCATAAATTTCTGGATAGATAAATAGTTAGATAACACTTTATTGCACCAAAAATACATCTGCACTGGATCCAGCTGGAATGCTGTTGGTCCAGCAAAAATCCAGCTGGATTAAAAACACTGCTGGATTGCAATCCCTAACTCTGAACTCTGAAAGGGGCCCTGGGCATCTACCCAAATACTTTTTAGTTAGTATTTTTAATATTTAACTTACGTTAATATTTATTTGTATAAAAAAATTAATTTTTAACAAATATTTAATAAGAGGAGAAAGGGGGAACGATAAAATTCTACATCTACATATCTTTATCTTTATTCTACAGCTTTTGCACTTCAATTTCACCTTTCCAGAAAAGTTAATCCAACTAAAAAGTGTGCAATCTAGCTACTTCAGCCCCTGTTCAGAAAAGAGAAATATATACTATGATCAATTAGTCTCGCTCATTCAGAAAAATAACTCATTTAGAGCAGGGATAATAAAGGAATGATTCAAAAATATTCAAATTTAATTGGGTCAAAATAATTTAACTACTAAACACAAATACTACAAAGAAAACTATTGACACATATTTAATAAATTAAATTGTAGCATTTTGTATTTAAAATANAAATGAATTTTTAATCTCTCATTATTTTAAAAATATAATTAAAATTTTGAGATAAAAATCTTACAGTCTATGTAATTAGAAAAGCAATTGTTAAACTTATCAGAAATGTAAAAAAAAATAAGTATTTTAAAAGTACTTAATTGATAATACATGTAGAGCAACATAACATAATCAAGCATACTTCTTTTTGATTTAGGAATATTTCACAACCCACCAATTTCTAAGCCAATAAGCCAATTTATTCGAAAACCTCATGCGAATAAGAACTGTCAAAGCCAATTTTTAAAGGTCCAATAACTAATGGTAACAAGTCAGCCATAAGCTAAGAAAAAAAAAAAAAAAGAAAAAGTAAGGAAGATCTTTACGTTAAAGGATAGGTTAAATGTTGTTTACGTTAACTGATATTTATTCTTTTGACTTTATATACAAAGTTACATTTTAACAAATTTTATTTTACTGATTAAAAATTTTTATTTCTGATATGTTTTTAATAAATAATATAAAGCTTTCTAGTTTTAGTGAAACAAATAAACACAACCTGCTTTTTTCATTATGAATTAATTTCTGATTTGTCCTTTATTTTCTCCAAAATATATGGTGTTGCAGAATGCCATATTCAATGTATAGTTTTATTTTATTTTTTTTGTATCATTATATTTTCCTCTCAATTCTATCTATTCCCATTTGTTCTTCATTTCTTTTGTTTCCCTGCTTCTAGAACATTCTGACCCAACCCTACTTCTGAGGATGTGGGCAATGAACAATAGGGAAAAGAGAGCCCTGAGGGCAAAATCCTAGTGGTTAGGACACTTTTTTGGCGAGGCACCAAAGAAGTAAGATGTGTTCAAGATGAGCTACAAGCCACGCATGCTCAAGCATTTATGTTTCCTGGAAAAAAAGACAAATTGCGCCCCTTAAATTTATTTAGAAAGAAACATGTAATATAAAATTAACAATCAAGTAGTACAAAACAGTAAAAATTAAAATATACTTCTACCTAGTTACAAATTGTTAACTAGATGCATTTTTAATAATATTACAAAAATGTATTATTATAGACTAGTATGTTATTCACGCCAAGTAATATTAATAAATATTCGCCTGAAGACAGAAATACATTTGTCGAAAGCGCTCAAATGAAAAACGCTTAATAACACTGCACACAGTGAGTTTTACTGCTTATTAAATGTATTATTGTACAATCAAACAAAAAATTTATATCCTATAAAAACTGAACAAA